TCCTCTGCATGCAGAACCACATTTCTTTGTTCATGGGCCTCAGAATCTATTGCAAGGCTAAGGGACAGGATTTAACCCTTATTTTTAAAAAAAGCAGCTAAGGCATCCCAGTCTAGACAACCTCGCCCTTCTATTCATTAACCTACCTATTGCTGGAGGACTGGAGTTTTGCTTTAAGCTGCAACTCCCTAAGCAAAAATATATTCATTTAAGAATTGTAGGTATTACATCAGTTTATCACTGATACAATGAAAACTCCAGTGCAGCTAAGATTTCAAACTGGATGCATCCAGTAATCTATAACTTTCTTTTAATTCTAGAAGACAGTGAAACACTTTTCTTCTGATAGAAATCATACCCCAGAAACAAAAATACTGAACTAAAACCAACTTAAGTAAAACAACAGTTTAATAGTAGTCTGTATTTCTCATAGTACTGTGATCTTAACACACTTGACAACTTTGTTCAGCTTGAGTGTTTTTAGAGTCCAAACAGGTGACAAAAGAGATTTTCAAAGCTCCAAGTGTCTGCCTCCCTACCTATCTTTAAAATTTATACTCTTCTTAGCAATATTTTTATTTTTAATTAAATTTTATTTCTTTTTAGGATTATAAATTTAAAATAAGAATGCAAATAAGCAATTATGATTTCTTGTTCTTATGGCCAGTAATATCTTAAGTATTTTCCTGTGTTAAGTATTTTTCATTCTATAGTTGCTGATATTTAACAGATTCTGGGGGAAAAAGTTCTCATTTATTCATCTGTTTTTGCTTTCTCCCTTACCTCCTATTTCTTAGGATAATAAAGTTAATCTGGAGAGTGAACTCCAATTTGTTTTCCTTTTTGAAGGAGTAATAAAGTTGATTACTTTTGTTGCGTAAAGTTGCCTGTCTTCAAACAATAAATAGCACTGCGACCAATAGGCTAAGGGAAAAGGCTAAATAGCATAATCATAAAACTTGTAGAAGTACGATAATACTATATAAAATAGTATCATAACAAATATATTATTTAATAATACTAACTTGTACCAATGACAGCAATTCTTCACTAAACAGTTTTCCCTTTGTTAATGCCTTAGAAATAACTCAGAGTCTAAAGAGAGACTACTTTTAGGGAACATATGAATTTCAGTGGACAAAGCGCAAGGATTTACTTTATTCTGATTCCATCTATACCTATGACTTGGTATGGGGCCTTCAGTATAGTGCTCAATTCTTTGCGTCTCCTCTTCTCTAAAAAAGATGATCGTATTTCATTGCATACGTCACTGCAGTGTGGGTACAATTAATATAATGGCAGTGAATTTCTTTTTAAAAAGCCCCTAGTGTAAGTAGTTGTTCATGATCATAAAAATCTCTCCTACACAAGGTGATGGTACAGTTTATTTACAGGTAAAAAATTACTGTAGTGGATTTCAGAGAGAAGCCACACAGGTTTGGGAAAGATGCGGTTAATGCCTAACTTTCTACCCTTATTGTGTACAAACACTTTTGTATTGTATAAAACCCAACACTTTTCTCCTTACTGTATAAACACAAATGTATTGGATGTTATACTAAGTAAGTTCTGTCCTTCACCCAGTTCAAAATTACCTGTTGTTGATGCAGAAATGGTTGGGAGATGTTTATTATTATTCAGGAAAGAGGGAATCAAAATATTCTTACCACATTTCCAATAATGAATGTCCAATAGCCAGGCTGATTTACTAAACAGAACATTGTCCTCCTGTAACTGCAATACGCTATGACACTAGTAATCAAAGCAGCAGTTGCTCAGGGAGGCAACAACTTGACACTAGGGACTCAGCATAGTCGTGGGAGCCAACAACCGCCAGTATGATTTCTGTTCTGGGCTCTACGTGACCCCCTGCACGGCTTTGATCACATTAACTCCTTCCACTTCAGTTACCTGAGCCAACCTTCAGCTACCAAGTGGGGATAAAAGTTTAAGTTTTATATCTCAACCATGAGTTACAAAATATGAGTCCCACAGAAATGTTGCATCCTACTATTGAAATATTAGAGAGAATGTCTTTTGAAAAACATTATATATCCTAACGTAGAACGAATTTGAGGCAGGCTGAATTATTGGCATTAGAATATGAAGGAGATGCATATGTATTTCATATATGCAAATTCCCCATAAGGAACCAATAACTGTCTGACAGATAAAATAACATTATTACACTAAACAAGCAGAGGTTGTTCTCGGCCAGAGGAGAAGCCAAGCCAGCCATGGTATACTTGAAACCATTTCATGAAAAGAAGTGCAGACTAGGAGGAATCATAAGTTATAACCACCCTCTGAACCACGAGCGAAGAGAGGGAGATGGCTAGGCCCAGGAATGCTAAATCAGGAAGTGCTTGTGGTTAAAAACAGAAGCAACCACATGAATAAGAGGTTTTAGGAGACAGCTAGACGACGCTGATTGAAAAAAAATATTAAAGCACAGAAAAAAGAAAAACAAGAAGGATTAAAAGGCCCAAAAAGATCTGTGTGCATTTGAACCCCGTTTCAGGAGAATAGAAAGGTAAAACCCAAATACCTAAAGATTTAGACATCCTGTAACAATAAAACTTTGTCATTAAAAAAAAAAAAAATCTCAGTTTGGTCTTCCTTCGCCATCTGGAAGCTTTCTCTTAAACAAACGAATGAAACACACACACACACAACATAAAAATAGTTTTCATTTTCTTCTACACACCCAGAAAAAGATTTCTTAATGACAAACCCCAAAATGTTATACTTTCAGCCTTACATAACTCCATGGAGACCCTTTGAGCTATCATCAATCACCTTTAATGTTCTTCTCAGATACTAACAAGCAGAATTTAATAAAAATATGAACATGAGTAATGTTTCAACATTAAACACAAGGGGAAAAGTAGTTTTAATTATCCTACAAATGTTTGCATTGAGTAGGCAGGAAAAGATTTCCTGCATATAAACCACGTTAAGGTATTAAGAAAATAATGGAGCTAGCTCCTAACTGTTGTCCCACCCCTTACCTTCTATACTGAACAAACTCTTTAATGAGAAAGCCTTTTTTTAGGAAGTAATGATGCAAAGGAAAGCAACGCAAAACAAAACAACATGATTCTAATTTGACCTTTCCAGCAGTACAGCACACACAATCCACAACACTTTTTGTCTGGAATTAGATCAAAGCACTTAAGAAGTACTGTTAATTTGTGGGAACATAACACATCTGCAGATGATTAAAGAGATGCTGCCACTTACCATTTGAAATGAGGAATTTGCTGTTCATACTTAAAAGAACTCTTCCCTTCCAATCCAACCCATAAGTCTAAAATGCTGCTTTAGAAGAGTTTAAATGGCATGGGAGGAGGGAACATTGTGCCAAAAGATAGAGGACTCGAGCTTTGAAGCTGTAGGCATCTGCATCATGGTGATTATTACATCTAGTTTGCTCTGCTAATAAGTGAGGAAATGAGAATTGCCCATTATTAGATGGGACGGACCTCTATTTGGCTGTAAGGAAAATTACAGTCTGGGTTTCTTATTCCTTTTCTTTAGATATGACGGTTAGAGGTCAATTTATTAAATAGATGTTTTTTGGGGGGGAAAGCATGATTTTGATGCCAAAAGATTTTCCTCTACATCAGCTTGATTTTTTTTCAGTGAACAGGAAATGTATGAGGATTTCACTGTCAGAGTGGTAAGACCCTGAACAGGGGCCGAGGGAGGCTGCAGAATCTCCATCCTCGGAGATACTCAAAACTCAGCCGGACGCAGCCCTCAGCGTCCTGATTCAAGTTGAGCAATGGGTTGGACTAGACCTCCAGAGGCTCCTTCCAACCTAACTTATTCTATGAAACATCATGCGCGTTTCATACTAATTTTGATAGAAAGGTTCCTTTCATCATGAAAAATAAAATAAAAAAGGTGTCTGAGAGTTGCCCTCATGCTGAAGAATACTTTCTGGTCTCTATCATACCAGCATCAAGCGGCATACCTGTGACAGAGGGAGCAAATCCAACCATTCCCATCACAAAATGCAGATGTCCTTGCACAGATCCATCTCTGCCCAGCTGCAAACTGGATGTACAGTTGAAGTGGGGTTCGACTGTTGATTGCTCTGGCCTTTGCCACTCTCTCTCCATGCAGATGCAGATTGTTTGTCCTAGCAAGTACTACATCTGCAGAGGAGCTGCAATAGCGGCCATCCAGAACCGAGCAAAAACAGGACTCTCAATACTTTTGGGGGGGTAGAAGTCCCCAGAGAAGTTTTGGCCATATACCATATTCTTAGAATCACGTTATTCTCTGTGCCTAATAGTCCTGGTATATTTTAAACAGTATATACAAGAGAGATGCCCAAAACAAACAGATAGGAAAACAAACCATTTCTTCTTTCATATGATCTCATACTTTCCTTGTTTAAAGAATAGGAAATAAATAAAACGTGTCAAAAGAGGGAGTAATTAATTTATACAGGTTAACACACCTAATGATGTGTTAACGTTAAGAAAAATGCTAAAATCTCTGGTCTCAGAAAAGTGAATGAAAGACTTCTCTTCTTGTCTTCTGATTTCATGCATAAAATGGATGCTTTAATCTTGTCTGGCATGGTCTTTCAGAGTGTTAACTTCAAGTCTATTTAATTGATCAACAGTTCTTCTGTCATCAACAGACGTGTCCCTTTCCTTTGCTCACTGATTATAATGATGGGTGTTTTATAAAATCTTGTGAGAGTCAAGTCTTTCAAGGATTTTGATGGACAGTTTTTGTCAAAACTGAGTGGTAACTTAATTCAGATTTCCAGATTCATAGAAATTCAGATTTATATCACAGGTAGCCCACTTATTTTTATTTTCAGGAGTTAACTCAATCTAGCGTTCTTTTAGTAACAAACCTTAAAATCCTCTTTAGCTAAAGTGTAAAAACAATGCTAAAATCTATCAATATGATTTTCACTATTGCTTGTAAAATTAGGCATCCGCTTATTTGCATTTAAATCTTTTTCTCTATTACAGTGATTCGAGCAAAAATATCCAGCGAAAAGGTGGTTCCTGCCAGTGATGATCCTCTTGATACCCACAAAATGATCCGGTATGAAATCAAACAAATAAAGGTACATGGAATCACTTAGCTACTTTGAAGTTCAATGCTGATGACCTATGTATATGACTACAATTTAGCCCTAAATGCTTTAGGCTGGAACAGGCTCCAGCTGCCTCCACAGTCAGACCTAGGTGGATGACACAGAATAAATCAAAGTAGGGATAAAAAAAATAAGCAAGCTGTTCTGACATTCATGAGCTACTCGCTAAACTATATTTTGATGACAATTTTGGTTATTCACAATTGCTTTATGAAGGCAATGAAAACGTACTTCAATCTATGAATGTTATTCAATACATTTGCTGTTTCTGGTGGATACTCGACCAGCTATGTTGCATTATGATATTGCAACTCTCTGACTGAGTGATGCAAACTTTATAAATAGAGGAAACCATTTCCAGCTGAAATAGCAAGGACCTTTGTTCATAAGTGAATAGGGATATTTGCAGAAACAGGAGTCCTTCCCTGATATTCATATAAACAAACTCCATTTGTATGAATGTTGCTAGGAAAGCAAACACAAAGTGGGAGCACCCAAAAATACAGTTATTCAGAATCTCACAGGATTTTTCCAGTACTTGTTCAGCTCCAGTAAGGAGACATATTCATTAAAGTACTTTAAGAAGACATATCTTGATCCCATTCAAGTCACCATCAAACTCTCACTGATAAAAAAAAGATCATGATCTACCTGTTTCTGGAATACACAAAAAATAGGTAGTCTCTTTCAATTAGAATGTATTAGCATGCACTGGTGGGTTTTTTTGTTTGGTTGATTGGTTTGATTTGTTTGTTTATTTTAAGTTTTCTAGGCGGTTTTCTCTCTCATTTTTCAGAGAATATTTATTTATATTATTTGTATTAATTTGTATTATTACATTTACTGGGAATACTTAAGTAGATCATCATGAGCGGCTACGTGCTTTCAAAAAAATTCAGTCCTTCAAATTGTATCAGTAGATCACCTCACAGGAGTTTTACTAAGAAAAGTCTATGGTAAACAAGAATATCTCAAAATATTCACAAGCATGGTTATCACACGTGACTCCTGTTAAAGGTTTTAGAGCAATTTCAACAAGCCGATTCTTTTTACCTTGCTAAAACTAATCCCAAAACTCTTCACCATCTGCCACTTTCTGTCGTCTTAAACTATTAAGGATATTTTCAAATGTTTCTTTAGAGAAATAAGTATATAAATACCAGAGCAATTGTCTTTTCTCCCATTAGCACTTCAATTTTCTGTTGCTACCCTGCAACACTTGAGTAACCTTACCGAAACACAAATCATGAATGACGAGTCTAGTCTGTGTTACTATTTTCAGTCTATAATCCCGTTCTTCAGTAACAGCACACTGAAATCTCTGAACTACATTCACATATTGGAGCTGCTTTGGAGTTTCTCCCAGATTTTCGTAAGCGGAGGCCTATTCAAAACTCAGGCATCAGTAAGAGATCTTTATTTAATTCCACTAAGCTTCAGAAGGCAAGTCAGCTATGACTGGACAAACTAGAGAGATTTATTTTCTAATAGAAGATGATCTACATCATTACAGACAAGTTAGACTAAAGACAAATGGGCCGTAATAGTCCCACCCTTCAAATCCTTACTTCTGGCCAGAAGAGAGTTAAGAAGAGGCAGGAGCTGAGGCTCCCACCCTGGCACGCAGGCTGCTCAGCTGCATTGGGACCCAGCTCCCTGCCCAGTGTCTCTTAACAAACCCAGTAAAAGGATTTTTGTTTGAAGCCTCCACAATACAGAGTGGGCAAGCGAACAGGAGCTTCTGCAAACTGCAAATCTTTTGTGGGATTACTAGTAAATTCAGTGTGGCACCAAAACAAATCCATGAAGGCAACTTTGCCTGCGCCTGGTAAATTGTACAGGAACAGACAAAGAGTGATGTAACCTGTTATATTCTAAGCATATAATTCACAGTTGGCATACGAGTAAAAATTAAACAGGACTGGGTATACTGAAAAATTACTGAGAAATACTCCCTTTTAAATTAACAGAAGTTTAATAGGAAAGTGTTATGAATGACACTGTACAGTCCGCATCAAGTTACAAAAGTAAAGAGAGTGAGGAATTTTAAATAGCTCACGCTTGTAAACATTTGGTAAGTATAAAATAATAAATTAAAATAATATGGTGATGTATACAACTGGCCAGATTTGGCCACCTCAGTGGAGCGGGACAAGTCACAGACTGGCTAACAACATCACAGAAATAGCTTGTCAGAGATCTTCAAACCCTGAGCCTCGTAGATCAGTGACCTCATTTGTGTATCTCAGTTTCCTGAATAACTCTGAACGTTGACCAGAGCAATAATTTGGTAACACTATTTCTTACCTTTTCCCTCAGACGATAACATTTAAAAGAGTCTAAATCAACACTGTATGTCAAACGGTAGAATATTCTCTTTTCACTCTTATAGTCTTTCTTCTCTTGAACGCTTACAGAGTGATTTCTTATATTGTAAATTTGATGACTTGCAGTTACGCTAAACTGAACAGTCCTTTTAATGTCAGATGGCACTGAGCACGTGTTTCTGGCTAACCCTTTGCATAAACATTTACAGGATTGGGGGGATATGCTAAGAATTTGCTTTATATAACATGAAAGTAAGGATAGACTCTCTAATCATCTCTCTTGAGCTGTAGGATCTATCAAGCTAAAACATGATTATCAACTCAGCATTAATTTGGTGAATACTTTTTAAGCCACACACGTATTCGCACTTCCCTCAGCACTACTTCTCCCCTCTTGGAAAAGAAACACGGAACCTACAGAGGTTACATTTTACTGCAAGTGTAAATTCAGCAAAATGCCACTGTTTCTTTTATATTACTCTCCGGGCTGTTTGACGTGTAACATTAGTGCGACTGGTTTGTGCTACTCCTGTCACAAGAATTATATTTCTGTTATTTTAAATCCAGCACATTAGGCTTAGCATTAAAACACTGGTATTTTTGGACAGAAATATTAAATATGATTTTATAATTAATTTTCAGACATAAAAAAGAATAATGATGGTTTTTATTCATTTTATGTATATGGGTTGGCATGTTAGGAAGCCATACATTTTTTCAATTACTGTTATTTTCTTTTATTGCAATATTTACAGCATTATACGAAGGAGAGAAGAAAATACATGATTTATAATTGAATATTTGTCTTCATAATATTATTGTTATTGACTTGGTCATCATACTTATTCTGAGGAGCCACCTCAATATTAAAACAGTGCCATCAGCTTTCGTGACACGGGTAGATGAGGCGCTTAGGGACATGGTTTAGTGGGCATGGTGTTGTTGGGTTGATGGTTGGACTCGATGATCTTGGAGGTCTCTTCCAACCTTAATGATTCTATGATTCTATGATTATCAGAGGAGTAAAGTAAGGCCAAAGATATTACTGTCATACATGAAATCAACAGATTTTACCAAATTAAATGAGTATAAGCAAAATTGCTAAGTATTTTCCACACGAGCTGCATGGATGGAAACCCACTGAAAGAATTAGACTTCTTTTACAAGAGGGCGGGCTCCCCTCACAGTGGGAGTAAGAGGAGATATTTAAGCTAAACACAACGATACCTACACTTTACAATGATGCATGCAATTTTCAAGCTAGATATTAATCACTATACAAAGCTAAGAAAATAAGCCATGATATAGTTGAAAAAGCTTAGAGAATAAAGAAGACAGAAGAATGTAGTTATTATAACAGGAACATGCCTGAGACACTGAAAGTAATACAGATAGTCCTAAAAAAAAAAAAAAAGGTATTCTAAAATCTTAAAGCAATAGCCGTGTACTGGTCCCTGTTACATAGCTCAGAAGGTCAGGGACAGTGTCAATATTGACTTTAGTATCAGGCTCACATCTCTCTCTTCTCCCAGTTCCTCACCCTATTTTCCTACCTCAATAAAGTCCTACCAGAACCTCAAATGGAAATGGACCATACCACAATGCAGAATCAGATCAAGCCATCTTATCCCTTTACAGAGAAAGTATCCACACTTTTGGGAGATGAGAGAATATGATTGAGAAGATCAAATATGATTTAATGAATTAAACAGAAGATTATAATCTTAAAAAATGCTTTAACAAATATCTAAGTCAAAACCCAAGATAGGTCAGACTGTAATTTCAAAAAAACTCCAACCAACCAACCAACAAAACCCCAACAAAACAATCACCAAACTAATTTAAATATTAACTAGATCTCCATTGTAAGTTGCCATGGACATTTTTCTATTTTTTTATAGCTAAATCAATTTGTGTTGTCTGCATAATGCCTCTCAAGTTAATTTAGATCAAGTGATGAGATATTAAAAGAAAAGCTGTACCCTACTGTACATTGTAGCCCAATCAAAGGTTTCTGAATGTGGAGAGAACTCAAATCAGAGGATACTTGCATACTTCACGTAGTTACTATGTACTAGATATCTGTGTCTGGTACCCACACCCTGAGTAAGGCAGATCTAAGGGTAGCAGAAGCAGGGGATTCAACTTCCAAAGGTGGCAGGAATCAAATGGCTCTTCAGAGGAGTGAGGAAGGCCTGGGGCTGCGACTGAAGCGCTGGGTTAGCAATGAGGCAGATTCTCCGCAACAAGTGCAGCCTGCTCCTGCTTCCTCATTTGGCCATCTTTATATGGGGCTGACATACCAGACTACTTTTATCTAATAAGATGGAACACATTTTCATCATCGTTATAGATGTTTTCTTTTATTTTCACTGCTGCTTTGTACAGGATACTGGTTTGTTTTCTGTTTTGGTTTGGTGCATTTGGTTTTTCTACTAAGTATTTCAAAGTCACATCTAATATTTTTGGATCAGAAGCCCGATGACAACAACTCTGGCTTTTTTTAATTCCATAAATAAGACTTCAGAAAAATCAACATATTACAGTGTATTTTCTAGTGCCCTGTACCATTTAAATCTCCTGAGAGAACTTGAGTAACAAGAACACAATTTCCAGTGACGCCAGCTGCAACTGGGAGAGCGTGCCCTGGGGAGCTGTGAGCCTTGCGATCGTCCACAGCTGTCAACACACAGCATGACGTCACCAAACGGGGCCCCCCCGACGTGCTGGGGTTTCAGTTATGTCACATTGGGTGATGACAGGCATCCTGAAGTTGATTAGCATCTTACGGTTCCTTCTCACATTTGGACACAACTAAATTTGTTTTGATCTTTTAATGGCTTATTTAAGAATTCTTTTCCTAGCTGGAAATGCTAGTTAAGGAGCGGCCAATCTGAACGCTGCATAGGCGTTCATTCTGAACCTATTCATTCTGGTGCTGCAGCCTGTTCATTCGAAGAGCTGGATCCCATTTTCCAACAGTTATTTGAGAAGGTCGCACCGGGCAAAATTCTGGATGCGGAAAACCAGCTTGTTTAATGACAGAATGTAAGAAGAATGCTCAGTTTCTTGGCATGTTTCATGTCCTTGACGATACACACCATTACACTGATCAAGATAAAATTCCCCGTATTAATATATTGAGAAGTTTTTGCATCTTACAACGCTGGAGCACCTTGCTTGAGATGAATGCTGTCTCTGCATTAAATGGAAGATGCTAGTAGAATATAAATTGAAGAGAAAGCTTTAAAGATCCGTTAAAAACACTGAAAAAGCAGATTTTAAACCCTATAATTTAAAAAAAAGAAGGCCTAATTTCCTTCTAAAAATAATGGACACATTTCATTTAGTGTAGAGAAGGGGTCTAATTGTTGGTATTGTCTCATATAAGTTCAGACTTTCGAGCCTTTTCTAAAGAGATGCACCACATATTTCTTTCAGCTGTTGTTTGCAACTGTTTTTTATGTTTGTTTTCCACCACTGACTTTCTGTTTCTGATAATTTTCAGATGTTTAAAGGATTTGAAAAGCTCAAGGATGTCCAGTATGTCTATACCCCTTTTGATTCATCACTCTGTGGAGTGAAACTAGAAGCTAACAACAAAAAACAGTATCTTTTGACAGGTAAAATATAACAAAACTAATGTACCTATAAAACCAGAAGTAACTGCTTAGATTGATTTTGCAAAAATATGCCAGCCCTTGTTAAAAAATAATGTATTTATGTTACTATGTAAATAATACAAACACAACGAAATGTACAAATTGTGTAAAGCTGTAATTATACTGTGATCTCACATGTTTTCCATCCTTCATCCGAAGATCTTAAAGCAGTTTCAATGGAAGTCAAAGTCAGTAACTATGTAATTAGTAAATAGGAAGTATGCCATTATTACTTGCTTAAAATCCACAGTACTGATTTTCCCAGGAATGCAACCATGTTTGATGAGACAACACATGCCTACATGTATGCAGATTTGGAGTTCTAAGTAATTATAGATTTTTCTAGAGAGTCCTGAAATCTAGTTTAACATACTACTGCATTTGCATCCATCCCTTGCTGGCAGATTATCAGCATCTTTTGAAAAATATCCTTCTTAAATCTTTAACAATTAGTCAGCTTGCAATCAGCAGAATAGTTCTCTCAGTTATAGTTACAGTCATTGAAAAAAAGTGTGAAATATGACTAATTTGGTGCAATTAGTTAAAAACTTCAGATATTCTTGTGATTTATTTCAGTATTTAGAAAACAGTTTTATTTGCTTGCTGTATTTTTCTTATCTTCCACGCTGTAGGCCAAATTTTAAGTGATGGTAAAGTCCTCATCCATTTATGCAACTACATTGAACCATGGGATGATTTATCCTTGTCTCAAAAGAAGAGTCTTAATCAGAGATATCAAATGGGCTGTGGCTGCAAAGTAAGTATAGAACGAAACACTGTCTAATGGTGGAGCCCACCTTACAGGCACTAGCAGTTTTCAGTGGTGGGAACTGTCTCTTATATGCCATATATTTTATGTTATTTGAGAATAAATAGCATTTTAAACAAACCTGCAATATACTGAATCAATGTACTATTTCACATTTAGATTACTACCTGCTACATGGTGCCGTGTTCAATCACTACACCAAATGAGTGCCTCTGGACAGACTGGCTGATAGAGAGAAAGCTATATGGGCACCAAGCCAAGCATTATGCCTGTATCAAGAGAAGTGATGGCACTTGCAGCTGGTACCGAGGTGGTCCTCCCCCAGAGAAAGAGTTTATTGATATCAGCGAACCTTAAAATGATCACTTCCTAAAAAGCCTTGGAGTCTAATTCCATCAAACATTGCACGCTCACAGCTTTGAACTGCCATCGTCTAATGTATCTGTTGCTTAGAAACAAAAACAAATTGTCCTGTACAGCTAAAGTACGAGTCTGTGGAATTGGCACTCAGGCAAGATGAGGAACAAATCTCCTGGAGGTAGCTACTCTGTAAAGTTATGCTTTGTACAGAGAGGCTCAAGCTGAGAATGCTCCTCTGTGTCCTCTAAGGCATAGCAAGATTCCCTTTTACCAATACGAATGTACAAGAAAAAAAGAATTGCCAGAATTTTGTCCCCTGTTTCTGTTATCCTACAGATTAAGAGAGCCCCATGTTTTATTCCAAGTCTTTCTGATGAACTATGGAATGTTTTATAGAACTATTTTTTCTGTATGAAAGTCTTCTGATACAAAAGAATTATTGTACAGTGCATATGTAAAGTATTATAACAATGTGCTATAAAAAAAAGATTCAAACTCCCGTTTTTCCTTATCTGTTGACGCAAGTTGAACACTTCTGTGATTAAACGATCTGTGCTCCATATTCCGTATGTTACTTATGTCATAGCTTTCATTATCTACAGAATTGTAACTTTCATTGATAACTAAGTTAAAAAAAACGCCTTGATAATCAAAATCCTCTTACCCAATTCAATATTCCTATGGACTAACTATACCTTGTTGAAGGAAAAGCCAGATGTTCTAATGCTTCAGCATTTTATGGAACCAACACAAATAATGACAGGCTAAAACGGCTTGTATTTACAGAAACCATGTCCATCATCACGGCAGCTGTAGTACTTGATAATGCCTCTCTAAATATGTGACTAGGTCATTGTATTTCAAAAGCCTTGGCTTTAGAAACTCATGTAAAAATACATGCAATAGATGTTGAATAACTTGCGTTGCAAGTGATTTCTAAAAAGCTCTCAAATATTTGACCATATATAATAGTTTAAATTTACATTAATGATTTTTCATTCATGAATACCCATCGTACTCTGTCATATTTGGTAACTCGTGAACTTATACTAGAGAAGTGTTACAACATATTTTGCCATTTAGTTTTTTAGCGTCTTAACTTTTATGAATTGATTACTGTAGTTAGTAACTAATCTCACACATATTTAAGTTTACAAAAGTAATTCAATTCACAGTGGTAAAAATTAAGAAATTATTTCAGTAAATGCCAAAGTTTAGACAGCTGTCCAACTGCTTGCGTTCTGGAAACTGGATGAGAACCGTCACGCAGGATATGAATCTGCCATTTTTGACATATTTACTCGCTCCCATTTTCTCCATTGGATTTCTTTCACTTCATTCCAATTTTGGCTAGAAATTACTCTCACGTATTCCCCATATGAGAATTTAGAACAACAGGCAGAGATTTAGACAGTTCTGTTCTTGTTTGGTTAGCTCAGGTCTATTTAAAGGTTTAACACACACATACACACACACACACACACTTTACTCACTATGGGCTCATTAAGAATCACAGCTGTTACTGTCTATTGGTTCAAGGGTCCGGCTTTCCAAATAGTTCCTTTAGTCTGTTTGCTATAGAGCCCTTATAAAATCATCAGGACTTAAACTTGCAAAGAAGATATGCACATCTTTAAGTGTATAGGCATCCTTAATTCCATTCAATTCAATGAAGAAGTAGTTTGGACATAAAATTCAGCATGTCCTATATATCTTGTCGCACCCTAAGATATATTGTATTGGATATATAACGTATACTTGCAAAAAAACCGTATAAATTATTTTTGTGACATATTCTGTTCATGTTTCTAATGTTTGACAATTGCATGAATCCATATTTAAAGGATAGACAACGGCAGCTTTGAAAACACTCTTGTGAGAATAAATATTCTTCTTTACTTTTTTTGTGGCTAAACTTACACAATTCCAATGAAGCGCAAATGGCGCAAGGCCAACAGGAAGGCATGCCGTTATTCCTTTGAGGAATATAAGTACCTTAATAGTCAACATTTCACTTTTTATTTACTGTAAATCAGTTTTGCTGTTTTAATTTACAATCCTAAATTAAAAAACCATACATTTGTGCTGCCAAATGTAAAGCCTAGCTCGTTTTCTGCTTTGCTAAAGACAAACAAAAACTTACCTAACACTAATTTGGACCACAGACTTATTACGGCTACTTACATAAATGAAATAAAAAAGCTACATTTCTTCCAAAAAGGAATTGCTATTGCAGAGACAATATTGACAGTGCTATTTACTGTCAGTGCTGTGCATTTATATTACTAATTTACAGAAAGACTTAAAAAACACGCCTTATTTCCTCATGTCAAACCAAAACAATTCCTAGACAAGCCTGCAAGAGCTTAATAACCATACAATGTCTGAATCAAGCACATGGCTAATTAATATTCAATACATGTACAGCGTAGCATTTGTTTCCAAATCCATTTTGATGTAATGGTGTCTTTTGAATAGCACTCTGCAGCAAACAGATATTTTCTGCTTTTTAACTCAACATAGTTCTATTTCAGTTTTATAGTAACTAGACCTTAAACTCAACTAACCCAACTCAGATTGCCTTCTTTATGTACCTTGTAAAAATAAATGTTTTCTTCAATATTTATGAACAAACTGTAATATGAATTGTATGCCATAATTAGTTTTAAAAACATTTTATATTTGACCTGCCATAAATATCCCATATGAGGCGTTTCAAAATTAACAGCCATCCAGTTTGATTTCTGTCTGAGCATAAATCTGGCCAAACTTCCCACAACGGATGGTACAAAGAATTTTTTTTCTCATATCAATAAATATGGCAAGAAAAACTTTACAAAAAAACCCTCTCAGAATGAGTTTTTATTTTCCCTGAGATTCAGCACTGATAAAGATTATGAAAAGGATTAACTACAATGCGGCATTCCGAATATGTTATTTTCCTATCAAGATTTTTACTGTAGTGGCATTGATATATTATCAACAGCAGATTATTTTTACAACATTTTATTTTTACTTCTTGAAACCGTGTATGTGTTATATGAAAGGTTAGAGCAGAAATATAGCCCGGTACAACATTTCATTTTAATTTGAAAATGACTCACATGATTTATGATAAGAGTAGGGAAAAGAACAGAGGAGGGAGACTGTATAGATGAACGGTGGAAAAAACAACGCCTTGAATATTGCTGGCTTTTTCTCAATGTTCCAGTTAAGTCTTAATTAAATTGTCCAAGAATTATGTTGAAAAAGCCATTTTTTTTTCCAGCACAGAGAACATAAGAGGTGGGAATGTAGTGAAATAAAGGGAACTAATTACTGAGGGAAAGGCTGTAGATATGACTCAACTAGCAATGAGTTCAAAAATCTTTACAGCGTTTTGTATAGTTTTAATCAGTCTGAGATGAATGTTTCTGTTTCAAAGTGTTTCATTAAAGCAGCTCCATTTTTACACAAAAGAATGGCATCTTTGTTTATTTACCTTTTATTGCTGTCTAAAGACTCAGTACAAATGATCACCATAGTATGAAAGAAGCAAAAGAAACAGAAGCACAACCGTACCTCTGGCATGCTCAGCTGAAAACTCAATTCACAGAGATGTGGAGTTTTCCCCTGCTCCCCCCACCCCAACTGGTTTGCACTGGAGGGAGAGAGCTCTAGGTTACGATTTGGAGAATAAGAAGGGAAGGAACGAACACAAGAGGAACTACCAAAAATGATTTCAAACTGTAAATACCAAATTCTGTAGAAGTAAATGCAAATGAGGCCCACTATTAATAAACAGTGTTTAAAAAACAACGAAAGTTAAATAGCATGATATGATTTCAATTCATCAACTAGAAGACTCTAATGTTCAGATCATTTTACAACCCATTCTAGAAATTTGAAGAAAATGTTATCTTGTACCATGTTGCCTGATTATTCTTCAAGCCACAAAGTTCCAAATAATTTCTTCAGGAGGAAAAAACAAACCAATGAGCTTCACCACAGTCAGTTATTACAGCACCTCTAAACCATGTATGGCAATGCAATACCGAAATGCATTCATTTTCTCCAGATGAACATTCGTTACATAGAAATATGTAAAAAATTACTCAGCTACAGAGAACATTAACATTCAAAAGTTCAAACAAAAGACAATTAACTTATCAGTTCAGACACTAATGAGCAATGTAGAGGAACGAAGGGGGGGAAAAACAGTATTTGTTATCCTCTTAAGCAAAATATGCCTTTATAAACACATACACACATTTTCTGTTTGTGTTCTATTACTGAATTTGAATTCAATCAGGTGTTCAAGACAGCAGTTTGCAATTGAACTGGTAGACCTTCTACAGGGTCATACTACTTAAAAATTGAAAGCTAACGCATGAATTCTTGTCCCAGAATTATAGGATATTTTCTTTGTTTCTCTGAACTGCAATTTAGCAATGCATTAAAAAGGCCTGCTTCTTCAATAAAATAATAGAATCATTGAATATCTCGAGTTGGAAGGGACCCGTAAGGATCATCGAGTCCAACTCCCTGCTCCTCGCAGGACTACCTAAAACTAAACCATATGACTAAGAGCATCGTCCAGACGCTCCTTGATCTCTAACAGGCTTGGTGCCATGACCGCTTCCCTGGGGAGCCTGAATAATAGCTGATAAAATAATGAAGAAAGAACAATAAATCGTGTGCAGGAAGTTATAAACCAGCTTTAATCTTGGCCATGCTCAGGAAAAGAGAGAGATATAAAACTTATTACCATTTTAAAAAGCATATTACAAAACATGAGATGTGGTTCTGCTTCTCTACCTGTTACAAGTGAATCCCCAAGGCATAACACACTTCCCTTGCATTAAAAAAGAAAAAAAAAAGATTTATAAAGTTGTATATTTTCCTGACAAATCCACCAGCAAAACCCCCTTCCATTCTGAACAGATTTGACTGTGGGACAATATTTAGATCTGCTGGTCTGGATCAGCACCATTCTCCTTTGGTTCTACAAAACTTCTGTGTAGCAAATTTACTAAACACATAACTGTGGTGAAAGCTCTTTTCAGAAGTGTCATATGTGACAAGAGAAGTGGAAACATCTGTTGAGTTAGTAGTCCAAAGAAACCAGAGAGAACTGGGAAAGCAGTATGAAGAGCCATCCTGCCACTCTTGCAATACATCAAAAAATAGAGCAGAACTGCACCATACTGTGTTTATTACCAAAAGATGCGACAGACGTGGGAGAAAGAAGACTTCAGAAGAAATCTTAGTCAGCTGCTGTCACTGAGGCTTATCTTACATGCCACCTATGATAACGAACTGCTAGCCAGAGTCTCAAGACAGACACACAGCAATTGCAGCTTGGGGACCTTACACAAACAGCTAACTAACATATTTATCATGACCTTGCAATGGTAGTTGAATCACAGCTGTGTGACATGCTGAATGGATTATATTCTAAAAATAATTAACGCTTCTCTGCTAGTCTATTCAATCAGCAAATAGCCTCCCTCCAGTTTCTCTCAGTGCTGAAAGTATTTCCTCTCGAAAAATACACTCAGGAAAGAATTTCTGTTTAGAAACCACAAGAAAAGTAAGAAAAAAAAATGTCTGCAGCATAAGACAGGTCATGAGTAAAGGTCTTAAGTGCTACTTTTATGAATGCATTTATGTCTGTAAAGGACTGCGAATCAATGTCAGCTCAGGTACATGAAGATGACAAGTCATAAACACCCTGATTTTAGATGAGTTCAAAGTTCTACACTGACAGGCACATAGCCTTGTGCATCATCTACAAAGATAATAAACACTTTGAACATATCATAAAGGACTAGGTTGAAACCAAACCATAAAAGCAACTCTTGCACTTTAGTAGTTGTTGAGTGTCTTTATAAGCATTTAATCTCTTTAAGATCTGAAGTTGGTTAGCTGAAAAATGACTACCTTCACATCTGAAAATCTTCTAGTTAACCATCACAATGCTTTCAAGTGGTCACCCAGTCTCATCCCTCTGAAAGCTTCCAAAAGGGCTTTTAAAATAGACAGTAAATGGGGGAAATGAATTGTGTGCTTACAGTTCCTGTTTTACAGAGACAGTAAGTAAATTTAGTATTGGTATTTGCACGTACCATTTCCTTGTGATTTGGATAGAACGTTTGCTCAATTAAAGGGAACTTCTCTGGACCCAAAGTTTTGTAGACAGACACCAGCTGGGCAAACTGTGAAATAAAGCAAAACAAAAAGCTTAGGAGAGAAACCACATTCTACCAAAATGATGTCATACTGTCATTTTGCTTCTTGTCTTCTGCGTTTCATAAACTCAGCAAATACACATACACATTATACACATTATACACTTCACTTCCTCTCTCCTCCTCTCTCACCTGCACACCTTTTTATTCCATCCAAGCTATGACTTCATATGCAGATCAACAAAGAACAAGACCACTAAGAGTTAAGCCTTCACATGTACAGAAAATG